TTCTCATGACAAATTTATTGTAACAGTCAGTGAGTGACCACATGGGAGTTACCCTAAAAAACATGTTTTAGGGTAATGCAATTTTGTGAAAGAATGGTAGGCAGGCTAGTGGAAGAGATGATTTTATGAAATATAAAGCATAAGGTAACTTTTCAATATATGTGATTATTGTTATTAGGTGTTTCCATAAAAGCATCAGAAGTACCTATTTGAAATTAGTAAGCTATAATGACTTTGATTCACTAGAAATGAAAGAAACACCATGTTATGTCATATTAGGTCCTGTAAACCTATTGCATTTTACCCTTGCATTTTCTATCTTCATTGCAAAATATTCATTAGAAGTAGCTATTTAATGATAGCAAAAATCAATCATTCTGATGTATGAAGTCAGACATAGCTTCCACCCTCCTCATTTTCTTCTTTAGGCTTTATTTACATAATAAAAGATTTATGTTTTTGCATGGACMTGTGAATAGAGATGTTGAAAAAAAGAGGACAACTATGCAATAAGATTTTTTTTATTAAGATCTCTAACAATATCACAGGACACATGYATTTTGTTTTCAGTTTAATACACAATTTGGAGAGTTGTCTGTAAATCCAGGTACCAAATGAGGGCTATGACATATGTATACATAGAAATAGAAAAGAAAAATTAAAATGTAGGAAAAAGTCTAAATGCAGAATCTCAGCAAGTTGTACTCCCCAGTAGCAAATAGTGAGTTTTGATACAAACTGAGTGTTCCTTTGGCTGGGCCTGGAGGTGTGCTCCCTTCAGGAGCCACATTCCAGCAGCACAGACTGAAGTRGGGCACAAAGCTGAGATTCCTGATGTGTGCACAGGGCACAGCTCAGCACAGAGGCTGCACTTGAGGTGCTCCAGCCCCCAGAGCAGGGAAATAACAGGGCAGAATTCACTGCTGCAGACTGCTGGGAGCTCGAGTGCAAGGAGAATATTGCTTCTTATCTACGGGCTGCGATTGAATCTCCTCCAGCTTCAGACTTGTGCAATACAGATATCGTATCTGAGCTACATTTCTTTTGAACTTGATGAAGAGAAAGAGGCTCTTCTAGAGAGTCATTCATCAGAACTATTTTGTGGGTTTTTTAAGGACAAGATTAGGTGAGTTTTGTAACATTCTGAGCTGGGTGAAATGACAGATTTTGCTCCCTAGGAAGTACAGATATTTCATGCTGTTTCCTGTGGGAATTGTTTGATGAACAAGTTGAGTTAAAGCAACCTKCTGCTCTCTCGTTGTTTGAACTAGAACTTCCCATGTGGGCTAACTGTTGGAACCTGTAGTGGTAGGTTTAATGAATAACCCATACTGGAGTATTTTGTGATTAAAATTTATGAGTATGAAACACTGACACCATATTTCTTTCTATAGATACATTGGAACAATCCAGTGTCATGTCTTTGGGTATTTTTTTAGTGTATTTGGATAAAWCTTCAGTATAAGTTCTGAGTGATTTACTTCAATAAACTTTGTTTGATAGCTTATGCAGYTTCAAGTTTCAAGAACAAGGTATCAATTTCAGTTTAGTGCATTGCTAACTAGTTTTTTAAGATAATAGGATTGGACAACAAAACGTGGCAGGAATACATCCACAATATCCCTAAAGGAATACCTGAAAACATTTTGTGAACTTCAGAACATTGTCATGTGAAATGAGAAGTCCCCTAAATGATGGAAGGTGATCTGTTCTGTCCTGCTGGGGCAATGGGGGTCTGGACCAAGGTGAAGCTGCAGCAGGAAGGAGCAGCAGGGGATGTCTGAGTGTCCTGCCCAGCCCCACAGCATCCCCTGCTCCAAACCCAGCCCTGGGACAGAGGGAGCAGCMCWCAGTGCTGTGCTGTTCCTGCTCASTCTGTATCCCTTCCTGCAGTGGARAAGGCACTGAAATTTTACAAGCTACATCTAAATCCCTCCATGTGCTGTTGCAAATATCACCTCTAATTTCTGTTCTCCCTCAGCCTTTCCCCCACCTTTGTTTGCATGCTCTCTCACTGCACATACTTGTCTATTTTGGCCATGGCTCAAGGCCAGAATTGAGGCTTGTTTTTGCCTCTCTGCAGTATGTTGTATAAATATGTGCTATGCAGACMTCAGCTGGGATAACGCTGTGATCGCCTTAGAATTTTTCTTTTTGCCCAGCCGAATATATTAGGAAAGAATCACCAAATGCTCATGTCTGTATCAGACTAATTTCTGATTCTTTTCAGAGGCAARAGAGCCAGAGAGATCTTTCTTGCTGAGCAGACCACCAAATACAGAGTGGAGAAGAGTTTAATTAACYAGTGTGGAGAAACTGCAGGAGGAGAAAATATCTCTTGTGGTAGGTAGAAAACGAGCAGGATCGATTTGTTTGTACTGGCAGCATCACCCAGAGGGTATCACTGCTAACAGGGAAAAGGGCTGCACCCACAGCTCCTTGGGAGAGCCAGGAGAGTTGTAGCACAAAGAACAAGGTTCACTTGGCACTGAGATGTTTCTGTGACCTTTAACAAAATCTCAAGACATTCTGAGATTTTTGTATCACCGGTGGTTGTTTTAGGATGGTGAAAAAAACCGGTAGGAGCAAAAAAAATTTCTTGTTCATATGAAAAAAATATAAAATCACTAAAAAAGAAGGTGCTGGGAAGTTTAAAAAAAAAAAAAAAAAAAAAAAAAAAAAAACCAACAAAAAAACAACACAACAATAATGCACTAAATTAGTCCAGGAAAAAAGGCAATTATTATCACTTTATGAAGTGATGCTGCACTGTCAAATAGAGCTGCCTAAGTAATTTTTTGATAAGAGACTTAGTTCTGTTTATCAGTATTCTTGTAAAACGTACAATAGAGACCTGCATCTGCTGCAAARTTGCACTGTTTTTGGCTTTTTTGATCAGTTTCTGGTAATTCTGAAACAGAGCATCTATTTACTCACTAGCATTAATGTTACAGATCTGAAACATATTAAGCTGTTTATGTAGGTCCTTTTAATTAGGTAAATAATTAGTTAAAATTTGACCAGAGAAGACACTTTTTGGGGAACTTCAATTGCTAATRTAACTAGTAATAAGAGTCTCAGTTTAAATAATTTGAGGAAAGGGAGAAAAATCCAAAACAATTTCAGCAGTGAAACAAGCCAGTCCCTAGCAGCCAGTAGATGTCATTCTATCTCTATTTTAATGCCACTTCCTACTGTTCTCATTATATTTTTCTAAATAAGAAATTGGAGATGGGAATCGGGGGAAACATTTATGTTTAACTTTCTTCTGATAAATGCACGAGTCCATATCTTTCTTTTCAGTAATGTAAGGTGTCAGAGTGTGAAATTGGTACTTCTTGGTGCAACTGAGGCYGATAAGCTATTGTTTTTCAGTCACTCATCCATTAGTACTATTTAATTTATTTATATGTTTGTACAAGGGATTTGTCGGCTTTGCACTGTGCATGGTTTTTCTTTATTTTCTTTCTTTTTTCTTTTCAAATTTGTTTTTCTCTCTGAGCAGGTTTGCTTGATGCTGTTCCCGTGTTCTCCTATCACTTCTCAAGATATCAATGCCAAATACAAGAAGAGTTTTGTAGCCCTGGGGAGACACACAGACTGCTGCCCAGAGTCAACAAGAGAGAGGTCTGAGACTGCATGGAAAGAGAGGTTTGATATTTCTTCTCTCAATAATCTTATTGTTAACTGAAACCCAAACGCAGAACCCTGCTGGCAAATGCAGCAAAAGGAAAGAATTCCATCTATAGTAAGGATTTTGCAGTCTTGCTAAGATAATTTGTAATTAGTCATTTAATTTCTGTCCAGAGATACAGATTGAGTGTCTAGAGAGCAGTGTGGGCAGGGGGTCCCAGCACTGACCCTGTGAGGAGCTGAACTGCACTCAGTGTCTTTGAGTGCTCCAGCAGCACGGGCTGGTGACAGCAGGAGCAAACTGGACACACACTTTGTTCCAAGACTGCAGTGGCTCAGGTGCCCCATCAAGCTGACAGTTTTTAAAACACTGAATTRCTGTTTTTGCTCTTTGGCAGCCATTGTTTCACCTGGTCCTGCTCTGTCACGTGGGGACCCAAGGGGTTTTGTTGGGCACTGAGCTGAGGCAGATGCTCTCCAAGGTACATTTACTCTGCTCCAACCCAGAACTTGMAATCCATGGTCCTGGAGGAGCCCTTGCTGTATCACAGCAAAAATACCCCATTTTCTGCAGAATCAAACACAGAACACAGCAAAGACAGGCCTAACATGAACTTAAGAAGGGAGAACCTTAATTGGCTTTACAAAAGTATAGTTTTAAATGAGACTAGAAAAATAATCATTAAAAATTACATTATTTAAAGCCTTTCTGTCATCTCTTAAAGGGTTTAGATTATGCATTGCCTTAGAACCCACAAGAGTTAGGCTGAATGRTAGCCTTAGTATCTTGGTTTGGTCTTACCAATGCAAGTTTTTCTCCTTGCAGTCACTGAAGTTTAATCARGTGGGTGATGGTGAGATGAATTAGTCTTTGGGTGCTCAAAAGGAATCTACTGCTCTGTGTGTGCTGAGAATGCAGAGAATRACAGTTACCAACTGCTGCTCAGGGTCTGGCTGTTCTTGTTGCACTTGGGGCTCTGTGACAGCTCATGCTGGTGTTAACGTGTGTTAAAACCACACTGATGTCACACCAGTGCCACACTGGTACTGGAAAGAATTGGACATAGGAGAATTGCATTTCCTCTGGATCTTGGAGCTGTGATTTTGGATAATTTTTTTTTTACCATAAAGATCTGTCATCAGAAGCAAATCAGAAATTAAAGCTAATACTAATACTTGCACAAAGTGTTTGTGWGTGTCTTATTAGCAAGTTAATACTCATGGCAAAAAATCACAGTAAAGTGCTGCTGCAGTCCCAAAAGGAAAGAGAGTAACGAATGCATGGTCAGCAAGAGATAGAAAAACGGGGAAAAGAAAGAGTGAAAGTGTCTTTGTAGATACTGACCRGCAAAATGTCTGTCTGCTGAAGAATATCACAGCCATGGTACTGTTTGCATAGCTGAGGAAATCAGTTATGTAAGCAAGCAAAGTAAACACTGCTCACTACTGCCTGTCTAAAGACAAAAAACAAATAAAGGAAATAAGTGTGGTGGGGAAGTTAAAAGAACTGAAGGAGATAAAGATGCTGTGAATAGAGGGAATCAAGTGTTAGTCAGTTTAAATGAGTCTTGTACAGCTACGAGGAAGAGCATGGAAACAAATCACTCCCAGCCAKAGAATGAAATAAGAAAAAGGCTCAGGAAATGAGTTGTGGCAGAAGGTCTAAAAGACCAAAGATGTTAAAGCTCAGTTGGTTGGACAGAGGGACAAAGCTTTTGTTGACTTGCAGTGTGCATCTGAATACCTTTYGCTGAATTCTGCGCATTTTTACTCACAGCACCAAAAATAATGAAATTGCATTTTACCTTTTAAGCTGTGAGTCACTTTKCTGAAGGGTCACTGCCCAGACAGTCAGAATGTGCCCGGCAGACAGAGAATACCAAAAGGGAGTGAAAATTTACATCATGTCTGTGTCGTGACWAAGGAAAATGTAAAGATAGCAGCTTCTTAGGGGGTTGTTATTAGGATCCTTTCAATCTGTGCCAAAAGAACATTATTCAGAATTCATACTGGGATGTGACATGTGACTTGTGACTGACAAAATCTTTAGTGCTGAGTTTGTCTACTCATCGACTGGCAGAAGTTATATCCTATTGCTGCGTGCCTTTATAAAAAGGCTGAAAGAGGAAAAAGTTRAGAAGAGCATGGAAAGGTCTTGTGGAAAGCCTCTAATGATTTCCCAGTTCTTCCTGCTTTCACCCACATGAATTGTGGCTTGCAACACAGACTTTGTGTGCACTTGGGGTTWAGGGAAGGGATGACATGCAGGAATTTCTGCTTTAATCTGTCCCCTAGCCCCCTGAAAAAGGCAGGATATGTTATCTTTACAGAAATTGGCACAGTCTGACTGGGATGGCACTAGAGCAGTGAAAAATAGGTGCTTGGAGAGAGGTTGACTGTTCAGGTGCTTTTTTTTGTGGAATTGTGGACCTGGCAGCACAGCAGACCCCATYCTTCTCACATTGCCCCTCTTGCATCCCCCTGTTCCTGTAGGATCCTYAGGACATCAGAGTTGAAGATGTGTGTGCTGCACATCCCTGTGGGTCAGCTCAGTCTGAAACACTGCAAAGACAAAGAGCCCTGCAGTGGGATTCCTCAGGAAGCTGTTCTCCTGCAGAATCTGATGCACAGGGAATTATTTTACTTCTTAGGGCAGCCCATGGGTATGAAGGAGGCTGACTGCAGGGGCTGCTGCTCCTCTTACCCCTTTCTTTGCATTTCCATTGAGCTTGCTCTGAAATGGACTTCACAAGTTTTCAGATATGCCCAATTTGTTCTCTTTTGTACCTGTGGGAGAGTTGCAATGTATTATCATCCAGAGATGATAACAACCTATTAATGCATCCCACCATGTACTTCAGTAATTGTATCYAGTGATTCTGCTGAAGGAAAAAATTGAGTTAGTGCCTTCATTTGTGCACTGAATATGATCCATCTTTTCTCCTGTGTCCAGGGCTCTTACTGCAATAATTAGTTGGCATAGACCATTTGCAAATTTGAAATGACTGTATTATGGGATTCTTTCTTTGCTTTATCTTTCTGCATATTTGGACAGGAAACATATGTCATCAGCTGAGGATATGGCTTTTACAAACTGATGGTTCTGCCTTGGTGCACGCTGTKGTGCACAGATATCTCAGTTACAGATGCTTTGTGGTTTGCAGGTCCTACTCTTCCAAAGCTGGAGCTTTCTGAAAGCACAGAGAATTAACCTTTGCTTATCACTCTTCCCTTTCTGACTGTAATATATGTATAAATACCTTGACACAGGAATTTCATTATTTTATGTAYGTTACAAAGTCAAACCAAACCTCCCATTTACCTCTCCTTCCTCCTTTCCACTTCCCTCTTTTTTTTGTGATAGAACTGATGTGATTAGACTTGTGTTATGGAAAAATTAAAATGATCTTATCTTTTCTAAAGCATTTCTTTTCAGTTCCAGATTGAAGTGATGTGTTGTACTTCTTCAAGTGAAAATTCCTTCATCACATCAGTAAGGCTGAACCAGTGTTGCCTCCAGTGGTACTTTGGTGTTAACTACTCCTAGGTCTGTTTGTTTGTTTCTTTTGTTTTTCCATTCAAAGGTGATGTTTTTGGAATCTGTGTCTGCCCAATGCCAGCTGGCCTGATGCAGGTCTTTAGCAAATACTCATAATCAAAAAAGGGATCTACCCATATTTTAATGTTTTACCCTTTACTTCCCTTACCCTTTATTATTCATTCTCGGTGGTCAAGGAAATTATGTCTGGTCTTCTSTGTTGTTTTTACTTTTTATGATGCAGTAGAATTATAATTATAATCAGCAAAAATTATATTATTTGTTGGGTAAATAGCTTACCATTATTTTAGGTAGAGTTTAAAAGTTGTAAAATAAGTAATTTTGGAATACCCCTAAAATGATACTTATTAGGAAAATGCAAAGAATAAACWTTTGAGCTTCTGATTTTGTTTTTGTTGTTTCCTAAATTTCCAAGTTAAATGCCTATTAGTTATACTGTACAGAATTGATACCTAGGATGTCAATTGTAATAATTAGGTTTTGTTTTCCCTGTTTCTTTCATGTGGAGAAATAGGGTAGCCTTCTGAGGTTCTTGAAATTTTAGCTGTTTTTTACTACTATGTATAAGTAATCTTTACATGCTCAGTTTAAAAAAAAAAGGCTTTTAAATTCAGTTGTCTTCTAGCTTTGATCACAGGCTGGTTGTGGATATAAGAATATTCTGTATATATTAAAATACCTGGAAAGTACCAGCAGCTATTCAAAATGACTCTGCTTGAAATAAGCAACAGAAAGGTCACACTTAAGATGATAAATATTCATGTAATTAGGTTATATGTAGCTACACAGAATACAATAGCACCAATCACCACAAGTGATTGAAATATTTTCATCAAATTCAGTGATGATTGAGAGATGGAGAGCACTGCCAAGTGGAATGTGTTCTTGGAATACTCCATGGTTAAGAGTGGCTGTTCAAACCTCTGGGATCATTTAAATCTCTTTGCCAAACCCYTGCTTTTCTCTCTTTTGTGTGGTGYACTGTTCCTTGGCAGAGCCTGGGTCAAGTTGCTCCCGTTCAGCAGGAGCAACCCTTTTTGCGTTAGAAAAATCATCTGTACGTGGCAAATGAAACAGAGAACCATCCTGCTCTTAGAGTTCTGATCATGGAAACAAGACAGATAAATTARTCACAACTTTGTGTGCACGGTGACACTACCTGTGTTCCTCCCTTTCCCTTTTTGTAAAAGCTAAGGCATTGGTGCCAGTAGCTTTTCTAAGTTCCATTTTCAGTTATTACTTCCTGCCTCTTAATTCCTTCTGCAATTTCATCAAGATTCAGCACTCATCACCTCTGAAACCTTTTTGCCAGGTAAAACARTGCACAGCAACCTCTGTCCCAAGATCTCTGCTTTGTGGCTGTGCTGATTTCTGACGCATGGCTTRCAAAATACAATTTATCATGTTATTATCTATCATGCTTGGATTTAATACAGCGTTATTGTTCACCTCCTGCTTT